TGGGGGGCTTTGAGGAGAAGAAGAAGAAGGGAAAGAAAAAGATTGGAAACAGATGTTAGCTCAGGGCCAATCTTAAAAAAACACTGTTTAAAAGAAAATGGTTGACAGAATGAGAATTTTAAAATATGGAGATGTTGCAAGTGATCACCTTGCTATTGCCTTGTTGGAACCTACAACCGTCTTCTGGCTGTAGATTCTTGTGTTTTTAAATATACTTGATTTTATATGGAGTTAATATGAATCCAACCCTTTTGGAAAATACTTTTTAAAAATCTGAATTGTGCATCTATAAATAGATATGCAGAAAGTAACTAACAGTGGCAAACACTCTTATAGTGGTTGCTACGTGCCAGCTACTGTTCTAGGAGTTTTTATATATTTTAACTCACATAATCCTCACAACAACCTCAAAGAGTAGGTGTTACTATTATCTGCAACGTACAGATGAGGAAATTGTAGGATAGTGAGCGCAAGTTATGTGCCTGAGGATCCTCACATGATGAGCAAGTGGTGTTGCCAGGATTTGAGTTGTGACTGGCTCCAGAGATCCATGCACCACATTATGCACTGTAGTTCTTCAGGTTGAAATAGTTTAAAATAGTTTCATATACCTTGTTATGGAAATCACGAAGGGTTCATGCAAGTTGCTCATTTCAGAGAATAGCACACAAACTGCAAAATGCCTGTTTTATTATTCATATTGATTGAAGGTGGCTGAGCGAGGAGGTGGTTGGAGTCTGTATATATTGTATGTGCGTTACTTGTGAAAAGGCATAACTTCTGTTAACTAAGTCTATTGTCGTATTTATTTTTAGCTTTGCTATGCTACTGAAGTGGGATTCAAGTGTCCTCAGGGTCTTCTCTCTGGAGAACATTATGTATCTCTTCAATGCACAGCTATAGGTTTATAAATGCTTAATTTTATCAAGAGGTTAAAGCCTTCTGGATAAGACTGTGATTTTCAGGCTACATCCTGGGAACATGCAGGAGAGAATTCCAATTGATCTGGACATGCGAGAGTTTAGTACACTCTAGATGTTGTTAACTGGTGGCACAGAGAGAAAAAAACGCCTGCAGCTTCACTCTGCAGAGCGTGAATGAAGAGAGTTTATTTTAGATAATGAGCACAAAACAAGGTCTGTTGGTTTTGAAACCCACTTGCCAAATGGATTATTTTAAGTCCACCACCTCCAACACTCCCCACCACATACTGTTCTATCTTTGACCTATGATCCATTTTCATTAGCAAAAAACATAGGGGAAAAAAAGAAAATATACTCAATGTAAAATTTCCTCTCCTGACACATCTGCATTTGTATGTCTCTGTGGCTTGGTCCATGGACCAAGATGCCACTTCTTGCTCCAGGTCAGAAGCATCTGAAGTTTCTTCCTGCTTTTCTTAAAGCTTTGTTGACAGTTATTCAACCCGTTAGGATTTTTCTCTTACTCCAACCCACGTGCTCTAGAAATGGTCTTTGGTGGCCATAAGAATGCAGTCATGATTCTCTTATATGCTGGCCAATTAGTTCCTGGTTTCTCTTGTCTGCTGTATATTTTTACCTTGTGGCTAGTGTTTTACTCTGGTATGCCATTTAGATTTCTGAAAACATTTATAAGATTTAAGGACATGAGAATAGAGTCTTCAATAATTAAGAATATCCTGGAAATAACTGTGTGTACATAGACATATCTGACCATTTGGAGATATTTTAATTCTACTTGAATTCAAATTAGAAAGTGCCAAAGTTTTTAACATAACAATTCCATGTATCAATTTTCTTGGCACTATTTACAGAGACATTTTTAACATGTCATTAAGCAAGTAGTATCATTCTCTTTGTCAGTAGAAAAAAAATCTTTAAAACTCAAGGACTTCTATAGTCAAATACCAAGTCAATGATCTCTTACCCCTTCAATATGATGAACACCTTTTAATAGTAAACCATTTGCTTTCACCACACAAAGTGCATTGTAGGCAGGCAGCTCTTAGCTTTGTTCTGATTACAAACAAACATGTTTGTAGGAAGCGATACTGTGAGAACGTTAAACCAATATGAAAGAACTGTCGCTGCATTTCAATTCCCGACGTGTCTAGGGATGCTTAATTTGGTCTGTGTGTCTGGTCTTGTTGAATAAGAATAGCCATTTAGAGGTAAAAACATAGACTCTTCTCAAGAGTAGGCAATACCCCTAAACCCAAAGAGCCTTGAAAAAGTGTATATCTTGGTGCTGTGAATGAGAAAATGGGTTTGTTTAGAGCCTTTGTGCTTACAAATTAAAAGTTCAGTTTTCTACCCGTGTAAAGACATAAGGTAATGCATATGTTCATTTAACAATTACTTATATTGTACCAGATACTGTGTTATGCATGAGCAATACAAAAAGGAAAAGATATCTCTCATTTTGATATTTTACAGGCTGGCATGTAGACAGATGTGAAAAATTACAGTACAATGTGGGTACAATAATAATGATGTCACCTAAGAGTAACAAACCAGCAGCTGGGATTACAGCTCTAAATAAATTATCGTTACCCAAATATCGATGGCCTAATGCCGAGGAAACTGGAAGATTTCTGGTACAACTTCAAGCCAGAGACTCAAAGTTAAGAAGCTTGATATTTTCGTGATTTGGATATGAAGGAATTGGGGAGCAAAAGAGAGTGGACTTCCACAGCCATGTTGCTTGAGATTCAAAGTTTTATTGTGTCAGCGAATCAGCAATGATGATTCATTTAGGAGATCGGGTGAGGAGGAGACAAAAATGTGTTCTAGGTAGCAGCACGTACAAAGGCCTAGAGATGTAAGAATCGTAAGGCAACTGGAGAATTGCAAACAGTTGATTGTAACTGGAATTTGGAATGCAAATTTTTAAAAGATTGTGAACAAAGAATAGTTAGGTAGACAAAACCTCATGTCGTAAAAGAACTTCTCAGAATATGTTATAGAGTGTGCATATCGTCCTTTAGGTTTGGGGAACATTTGAGGACTTTTAAGGGAAGAACAGTGTGGTCCTACTTAGAAGTTATAAAGACGCTTCCCTGGGCCATGTGCTATAGCATTTAGAGAGGAGTGAAAGCTCCAGTTCAGAGGTCGTGACAAAATTCTGTAGGAGAGATGATGAGAGCCTGGAGTAAAACCGTGATGAGAGGTGTGGGGTGAGGTGGAAAATTAAGACTCAGTATTTTGTGCTGCCTTGACATCTGGTAAATTCGGGGGGCTGTTGAATGGCCTAACCACAAGTTCCCCATCCCACACTGCTCCTGTGGTTGAGTCCCCTTGCCAGGAAATTGTCCTTGTCAAGTGGACCAAGTTCAGTTTCTGATTATTCTTGAGTAGTGGGTTTCGGTTTCCTGCCAGCCTGCAGAATTATTCAAACCAGCCAATCACATGCTCCTGTGGGAACGAGGGGCACCTCACCCTCTTGGTGCTACAAAGCCTGTCTCTCCCACCCTTGGTTATTCACTCCTTCCTAAGGGCATCTCCTTTGTGGCCTGGTGTGCCGTATAACGCCCTCCTCCCCAAGCTGTGAGTTCATGTTATGAATAAATGGCTGTTGTCTCATCTGTAGAAGATTGTCGTGTATTTGGCTTCCCCTTACAACCTTTGGCCAGGAGTCCCTCTCTCACCAACACGGTGAATAGGAGACAAGCAAAAACAGAAGCTGAGGAGAGCAGAGGTTAGAGCTGTGCTGTCCGGTGTGAAAACCTCTGGGCACATGGGGCTGTTAAGCACTAAAATGTGGCAAGTCCAAAAGTGTTATGTGTGTAAGTGTGAAATACAAACTGGATTTTAAAGACTCACTATGAACACAAGAATAGAAAGATCTCGTTAATTTTTTTTATTGATTGCATGTTGCAATAATATTTTGGATATACAGTTTTAAATAAAATATTAAAATTAATTGCATCTTTTCACAGTTTTCTAAAGTAGTTACTAGAAAACTTAAAATTGTACATGTGGTTTACATTCGTGACTCATATTATGTTTCTATCGGGCAACTATGGTTTAGTGAAAGACACTCAGGAAAAGAATCAGTGTAGCTTGGGTTTGCGGAAAAGAACGATTCCCAGATGGACTAAAGGCTTGGGCTGGTTGGGCATGGTTTTTAAAAAGAAAACGGGATTGAGGGGAAGCAGAATCTTTACCTGGAAAGGGAAGAGTTCAATTGAGGATGGGCTCAATTTAAGTGCCAGGTAGATAGCTAGATGGGGATGAACAGAGTAAGCTGGGTAATAGGTCTGCAATTCATGACCAAATTTGGGACTGGAGATACAGATTTTGGAGTCACTAGTTCTGTCATAGAAAGCTATGAATAAAATTTCTGGAGCTTGAATGTAGAGCAAACTAAGAAGAAGGTTGATGGTATGTATTAAGGTTTGTCAAATAATCTAGTGCATTGGTACTGCTCAACACGCCTTAATACATTTCAATGAATTTTTGTTGAGTATCTACTCTGTGCCAGACTTTGATAGTATATAAGACCTTAGACTTATGAGAAACAGTAAAATATTTTTTAACGGAAGTCAATTATTTATATAAATGTCTTCTTTCACGCCTGAAATACTGTTTATTTACAATGAAAGATGCAAAAAATAATAGTTTGATAATAATACATAGAAAACAAAATATTGAAGTATAATAAAATGTTTCATTTGTAGAAAGGAGATCTTATTAGAAGAAGGTAAAGTTAGAGATAGACTTGTGGAAAACTCAGAGAGGTTTTCTTGTGATTACCCAGATTCTTTAAGTATTGATTCAGTATTATATATATGCCTTCATTAAATTTTGTGACTTTCCTCTGGTTTGAGGAAGCTGTACCTCTAGACCCGATGTTCCTGATAGAATATTATTGAGGTGCAAAAGAATTAAAGTGAGAGATATAAAGAGAACGCAAAAGGGAGATATTCTACTGAATAAACTGAGGAAGAAGTAGACGGGAGAAAGGGGTGAAGAGACTCGAATAGAATGGACTGAGATGGAACGGTCTTGCTCTGAATGTTGGCCAGAACAACAGCAGGGAGCAGCACAAATTTGTTTTTTGATAGTGATGGGGAAGACAGTTTCCCATTTTGACCAAGTACAATTAATTATATGTTTAAGACATATACGTTTTATTATTAAAGAGAGTAGAAAAACATATTCTTGTTTGATGAAAGAAGAGATAGTGGTTTGAATATTATACATTATTTGTGTAACAAACATGTTCCAGCATAACTACATCAGGCATTGTGCTAAGTTATTTAAATATATTCTCGTTTAATGCTTACAATAAGTAATGAGTAATACTTTATTGTCTCGATTTTACAGAAAAGGAAACTGACTCAAGGAAGTTTCACAAATTGTCCAAGGCCACACAGCCAGTGAGAGGCAGAAGCGGGAGGAGAACCCAGAGATCCATAGTCCACTCACAGAACTGGTTACACTTGTTATATGCTGGAGTTCAGGGCGTGTGTATGCAGTTAACAAAGACGAAGGAAAGGAAAAAATTCATCTATTGATTAAAACCTTGGATTTCAGAGGAGACGCAACATTGCTCTAGTGGCCATACCGGCAGTCGTATTTATTCTGAAGAATGAGAACCAGGCTATGCACGTACTCCATCAGTTATTTTACATTTTCAGTAAACGCAGAGTTCTCCATCTGCTTTTCCCACCCACCTCATGGCTCACACAAGAAAATATTCATTCACACATATATACATATAGTGAGTATATATATATATATACATATGTGTGTGTGTCCCCTTAGCTAAGCTGTGTTCCTGTAGTTGACATCAAATCCTATACACAAGAGTACTAGATTTCTTTGTTTTTGAAATTGTTGGCCAGCATTGTTTTTGAGGTACTTCCATCAAGCAAATGGTTAGTATGCCCTCTGGCCACAAAAACCAGGCTTTTAAGATATTGTTCCACTATAAACTGTTTGTGTAATTACAAATAAATCAATACTCTGGTAAACAAATCACTTTATATCATATTAAAATAGAGATATAGAGGAACAAAAACGACATAAGTTAAAAGTAAATGAATTTGTTGAAATCAAGGCAAATAAAATCTCTTATTAGACTAAGAGCTATTTTTTTAATAAAAAATACAGTGATAGAGGGAATATAAATTTTTCTCAAGAATTCTTCCTTGTTGCTTACTTAATTCTTTTTAGGTGATCATTAAATACAAACAAAATTTCTTTTTGGACAAGATTTGTAATATAATTTTTAGAGACTGGTATTTGACAAGCATATACTATATTTTGATTTGGGTTATAATCAAATAATGTTCCTGCCTTCCTTAATGTGAAATAATCAATGATTATGCTCTCGAGTTAGGCAATTGGAATAAAGAAAAGAAGGAAAGAGGAGAAGATACTGGCTTGCTTAAAGATTTTAGGAAGTTCTTTAAAATTTTAAAGAATATGTCATTCAAGATCATGAGATAGAATTCATTTAAAACATTAAAGAATTACATATATTAAATCTCAAGTCAATAATTCTGAAGTGGCCAGTAGGTAAAAATCAGGAAAAGCCAAGATATTCTTAAAACTGTAATTTTCCCTGATTTATTCTAATCTTGTCGCAGCCCAGAGTCCCTCTGGGTAGTTTACTGTACAATGAAGATGAATTATATGATTAAAATTTATCTTGATGTTTTCATTATCAGTCATAATAAGAAAAATATACACACTGATTGAAATGAACCCAGGGAGAAGAGTCTCATTGAATTTGGGGGAATTCTGCTCTCAGTTATCTGTAGGTAGGTGAATGATATTGTATACACTATTTAGAAAAAAAGAGAACATGCAGAAAATGAGTTACATTTAAAAAAATCTGGTGATCAGTTGGACTTTGAGTTACACGAACTTTACTTAATTTCAAAAATATCTCCCTCTCTTCTATCAATACTTCTGTTATCCCACTTGGAAAATAAAAGTTAGTCTCTAGTTCTAGAAAGAAAAAAATAGAATATAAACTGGAGGAAACTAGTGAACAAATCAATCAAATGTTAGAACTCTAAATACACAATTATTGTGGTTTTAATGTGCTTAATGGAATGCTATGGAGCACATGCTCACCTAAGCAGCAATAAGGTTGAGAATTTGAGTCCCACAGATAACAAAGGACCAACAAAAGCAGTAGTTTGTGATTTGTATTAACTCACGCCCAAGAAGAATCTTACATTTTCTGAAAAAGATCAAGAGCCTTTAGATGCAGTGGGAAAACAAACAAAAATCTTAATAAAGTATATGTCCGAAGCTGAATTCTGAAATAAAATATGTAAAAATTCTTGATTATCTTTTAGATTTGATTTGATTTGCTTGCTTAAAACAACAATGACAACAACAAAACAAACAAAAACAAGACCTTTCAGTTTTCTTTGAAGACATTGAAATATGTCAAGCATAATTTCTCAATCATAAGAAAAAGTAATACCATTTATAGCCTACAGAAAAATTACTCTGGAGGAAGGATGGGTTGACAGGTAATGTTACCAGAGTCACTTTTAGTTAATGTTCTGTTGAAATTTTTCCTTTGTATACCAATGAAAAGATTAACAAAGCTTTAATGTATCTTCATTGACAAATGGGATAAAAACCCAACCAGCATGACAATAATCTCCAAATAGGAGAGGAATCTAAACTCTAAGACAGAAAGAACATCACTTCTTCTCTAGAAATTAATTTTTGGGTGTCATGGTTGAGAATTAGTGATGTTTCAAGAGGTAAGTTTTAGATTATATTTATTTTCCTAAATAGGCATTAAAAACATAATCTTCTGCAATAGCACATGTACTGGCATATATAAAAGTCCATGCTTTAAAACAACTGACATATACTACATAGAAGGCAAAAGGGCCTCACGCTACCTGTAAACACATATCAGTGTTTTCATTTCATATCTTATGAATAAGGTTTTTTCTTCTGTGGATTGTGAAAAAATATATAAATATTACATCATTGTCATGGTGGAAATACCTAGATTAATAGGAGGGTAAGATTTTGGATCCATGTAAAGATGGCCTTACACATACTAGTTAACATTATGCAGAGGATGCACTTTCATTCCTTCTACCCAAAACCCTCCAATAGATATGGTTGGAACCATAATGCAAAATTCACTGAGCATGGCTGCCCTGCCAGATAAAACAGTAATATCAATGAATGTGGAAACTTTCAGATAGTCCCTTTCCACAAAGGGAAAACAGACAGAAAACATGGTAGGCTGCAACTTCACAACTTCTTTAGCAAGTCAAGGAAATTCACAAAGAGGAGTAGCAGAGGAAAATACATGTGAGCTAAATATAATAAATAGTTATTGCTCAAAATAAGAGTATGGGATTCTGTAATTTCTTTTCATGACAAAAGCAAAATTGTTTTTGAATTAGCAAAAGGAAGATGTAAGCCCTTGATTCAGATATTGGGTTACTACCAGTCTCATTTACGGATAACTCAGTCTTTATCTTTTCCTCAAGATTCTCATTTGTCACTTGCTTATAATCAGGGTTCTCAGTCATACACAGAGTTTCTGAAACCTTATGGTTAGCAGAGGAACTGGCTGTGTTATGAACCCCACAATAGAAACTGGATAATGCCACAAAACCCTACATTATTTCCCGAAACCTTCCCCCAGGGATCGATGCTAGCAATTGCCAATGCGTGCATATATAACAGTTTTCATTTGATGAAAAAGATGGAAGGAAATTTATTCACACAGTCCTCTGTTGACAATCACAAGGGTGTTGGGGGGATGAAAGCTGTGGGGTCTGTTTTGCTATTGAATAGTCAAGTAAGCATCTCGTGAGCCTTGGTTCTTGTCTCCACTGCTACCTCACTTTCTGCAGCTCCTGTCTCAGCCAGGACGGCAGGGGCTGCCCCAGTCTATGCAGCAGTTTGGACAGTTCCACGTTATGATCTCGGTAGTAATTAGAGAGGAAAGTTCTAGACTGGAAAGCAAAAAGGAAAAGAAGACTTGAAGGAAGTTATTAATTCATTAGATGAGATTGTGCAATCTACATTTCTTAAGAAATTCTATTATAGCATTGATGTCTCTAAAATAAGTATTTCTTTGTATTTTTCCTAAGATATCACTCACTTTTGAAAAGATTTGGCAGAAGAGTAGCAATAAAATAAAAAGTCTATGTAGGTCATATGTGGCTTATCTTCCATATGGCACTTATTTATTGTGGGATTGATGACGTCTACGTAGGGAGGAAAGCCAATGAGAGGTGTGTAATAGGTATGGGCATATAATATATAATATAATAAGTATATAATAGAATGAAGCAGAGACCAGCTGCGGTACCAAATCCACAGAAGCAAGCTACCAAAAACATATATTTCCTTTAAAATTGTAAATTCTGTAAAATTGGGCCAAAGCATAAAAATAAAAAGTGAACATAAATGATCATATAAGCTGAAATTCATGATTAAAGAAACAACTTGCAACATTTCAAGAATATTTTCTCTATTTAGTCAGGAGTAAAATAGATTTAAAAAGAATCATCAAGAGCTTTCTACTTCAAAAATATTGTAAGTTCTCATTACAGAAATCATTATAGTAATCTTTCTTGTGATTCTTATATTCCTAATCAAGTTGGAGTGATTGGCCCTTACTAGATGAATGATTTAAAAAAAGATTATCAAATATATCAATGGTTTTAGTTTATGTTTGCTTTTGTTTCTGGAAAGCAGAAAATTTATAATTGGGTTTTGTCTCTGGATATCACTTACTTCATATTATAACCTACTGAACACAGTTCTGTGTCTCTGACAAAATAGTAGCAATGAACACTTTTCCTGTGTATGTATAGGTAGCAACAGCCCCCACATTGTTTTCCATCTAGTCAAGGTTGTACCGTCTCTCTTAAGCCCTTCCCAATATTTTAGCGCAAATGTGTCTCTTTCCTCATAAAACTCCCTTAGCGACTTTTGTGTATACTGTGGAAATGGACTTAAGACAACTACATTTTGTCTTCTACCATTTACCAGGTATTTCATTACATTTCTTCTCTTAAACTAGGTTGTAAACACTTCAATTCTGGATAAGATGTTTATAAAAGTAATGGGAACATTACGTTGATTTCTTGGCAGATTAAAGTGATTTCTGAAACCTTTTTGAAATTATGAAGTTCAAAGGTATAGTTTAAGGACCTTCTGGTACTTTTATTTCCATAGTAAATCCCTTCCATCCTCCCTTCACTCACCTTGCCTTAGGAGAGAGACTCATCACATCTGGCTCAGCTGATTGATAACTGTTTTCCCAATCCTCGTCTACCTCCTCACACCATCACTTCTACTGAGAGATTTTTTTCCCTGCTTCTTTGTAGTTTGTCATTGTTTTAGGTATCTTATTATAAATCAGTGACCATAACTAATGTACGCTCCTATAGTAAATTTGAGTTCAAAACTGTTTTATTCTGTATCCTCTCTGTGATATTATGATTTATAGTAAGTAATACATATTTATTCTCTGTCTGGGTTTCTGGCACAGAGCTCCTAAAACCCTTGGAATTTCCTAAGTGGGAGAGTGAGAAAGGTGTCTTTTGTTATGTTAATGAGGTGACTTTTGGCCCCCCTTTAGGATGAGGCTAGTTGCCAGAGGAACCAAACCTGTGAAGAGAGGGTTGGAACTTTAAGTCCTTACCTCTAGGGGAGGGCAGAGGGCCTGAAGGTTGAATCAGTCTCATTGGCCAATGATTTAATCAACCATGCCTATGTAATGAAGCCTCCATAAAACCCCCAAAAAAGGACAGGGCTTCAAGAGCTTCTGGGTTGGTGAACATGTGAAGATGCCAAGAGAGTGATGCACTCAGAGAGGACACGGAAGCTCTGTGCCCTTTTCCCATACCTTGCCCTCTGCATCTCTTCTATCTGACTGTCCCTGAGTTATGTCCCATTATAATAAACTGGTGATCTAGTAAGTAAAATGTTTCTCTGAGTTCTGTGAACCACTTGAGCAAATAAATTGAACCAAAGGAAGGAGTCGTTGAAACCTCCAATCCATAACCAGTTGGTCAGCAGCACAGGTGACAACCTGGGCTTGCGCCTGGCATCTGAAGTGGAGGGGCAGACTTGTAGGACTGAGCCCTTAATCTGTGGGGTCTGATGCAGTCTCTGGGTAGAGAGTATTAGCACTGAGTTGAATTCTAGGACACCCAACCAGTGTTGAGCATTGCTTGGTGGTTTGGAAAACTTCACTCACATGTTGTAATTGGTGATCAGAACTCTTTACTCTTTATTGCTTAGCTCATTACTATGCATGGTAAATGTTTAATATAATAATAATGCTTATATATTTTACCCAAAATCACTTGTTTAGTGAACAATTTGTTTAAGGACTTTACACATTTGGAAAGGAGTTACTGTTTTGCATTTACATTTGAATTGCCTCCCAACAGCAAACAATGGGTATCTATCAATCATCTATTTCTGTTGGTCTGTCTATCTTTTAAATATATAAAACCATTGATAGCAAAGAAAGAGCAGAAAAAGGAACCAAATTTACTGTCACCAGTTTTGAAAAGGTTGTATGCCCAGAGATCTACCAGTATATTTCGAAGATTAGGAAAATATTACCTCTGGATCCATGGGTGGATATTTTCGGCCTTTGCTTTTTCCAAGGCATTTGGTCTTTCCTCCTTCCAGTAGCTGACACCAAAAGCCCTTCTGGGGATCAAACCTACAAAAGATCAAACATAAATGATTTTATAAAATATAATGATTATAAATTGTATGTCGAATTTCTAGAGAGAGAGCCTCACCGATTGGATAAAGGAAATGCACTTTCACATGCTCATTGCTTCGATTTGATTTAATTCAGTTCTACAAATATTCATTGAATTGATTTGAGAGAGTCTTATTGAGATTAAATAAACTGTTAGTGCTATTTTTGAATATTTCTCCCGTAATAAAAAAGACATATAGATCTTTAGCTCAATCTTATGTTGAAATTGTGAACTTAAGTTCCATACTTTACATATTCATCCGTAAAAGATCAAGGACCAATCATCAGAACTACAACCCACATAAAAATGACCTTAAGATTTATTTACTTATTAATATGATTTCCTGTCTAAATATATTAACAGATTTCTTTGAAATCATTCAATGGTATATATTAAAGTGACTGAATATAAAGTAAATACACTTATGTGAATATAAACAAGAATTAAAGCTTTTAATTTGGAAAAATACTGTATTTTTTTTACAGTCCAAAATGTTTACACTTCTCAAGGAGGAAATTAAAAATGTAAAAATATAATTTTTTATATTTTTTTCAGGTAGCACGAGACATGGGCTGTACAAATAGTGAGTGGAAGATTAGACAAGCTTTTACTTCTTTGTTGAAGGCAGATGATTCTACTGGATAATTCAGGTCCCTATACTCTTAAAGAAAATTCTACTGTTGTTTTGCTCTCCTGGCTGCACAAAGTTACAAATGGAAGAATGTGTGGCCTAATTATTTTGTTTAAACTCAGACATATACGAATTTTTGTTTAGGACTAACAAGATAGGAGAAACGAAAGAATGAACCAAATAAGAAGGGAAATTTTAAATTTATTGCTGTGGGACTTGCTGCATGCATAAAACATCGAAAAGGTTTGCATTTTTGTTGCTCAGCAGATGTTTTAGAAGGATGGAACATAATTGACTGGGATGTAAAGTTAATTAGTTGCAGAATATTTCGTTGCCCTGGGCCCATTCCTATAATACCGGTGCACCTGCAATTTGCCTCTGCACATATGTGAACTCATTTAAGGGGAGAGGGAAATTTTCTTCACAGTTCCCTGCCCAACCTATTATCAGAGACCCGATCCTTGCAGTCCAGGTTGTCCTAGTACACGTTATCAATTAAAATTAAATACATCACTGGTTAAACAGATAAAAGGAAGACAGAGTCATTTCCAACCTGGACTTTTCAATCTGTTCTTTGCCTATCACAGTCCTTTCTCTAGTTTTCATTAATTTCCCCAGAGGAAAAACAATTCAGCCTGCTGTGCAAAATGAGATGGGGCAATCGGCGTAACGGTGCCCCTAAGCAGCATTTTCCGCCACAGGATGAGAATATTTAACTGCGTTGAGGTAAAATACAGATCAGGCAGCAAAGCCAAGAAATTTCTTCACATGCTCAGAGTATCTCCTTTGCTGTCAGGTGTGCAGAGGTCTCCGGACGGGCTAGAGTCTCTCCTTGCTCTCTACAGCAGCTGCTGGGAGGCAGAGCTTAACACAACCTGAGCAAGGACAGCCATCCAGGATGCTGAAAGTCATTCTTTCAGATAGGGTTGTTATAACCTAGAGTCCACATGTTTTTGCTGTCCTGGTTTCATTTATTGCATTGGCAACATTATATAGCCAAAGTCTAGCAAAGGGCATTTATTCTTTCTAAGTTCTGTCAATCCACTGTTTCATAGTTTCATTTTAGTAGGCATGAAATGGTGACATTGAGATGCAAAGCCTTTCTCAAATAACAGTTAGACAACTTTGAGGACATGAATTGGTTGCCACACGAGTTCCTTTCTCATACTGAACATCACTACAGTTATTAATTTTTTGTGAGGTGAGACATAGTAAAAACCATATATTCTGTACTTGTTTGTAATCTCTTCTTTAAATGTATGGTTTTCCAGGTCTACAGAACCATAAGCAACTATTTGTAGTAAACAGGCTAGAACCATTCCCTAAACTGCTGCACGGAGGCAGGGGAAGTCACGCTAACATCAGTAACGATTACTGCAAGATATGTTACGGCCGCTCCGTCTACCTCATCAGCAGGGGCATGCCTGTGTTGTTGTTATTGCCATGCGTAGGGAAAAACTTCATTAGGGTTGTTTCAGTGCATGAGGAGCAACCCAATCTTATTACTGCTTTTCCTGTCCCTCCATTACCCTCCCTAATTGTCTAATTGCTGATTCTAATCTGCTGTGAACTGGAAAGTTATATAATCAGGCTTGTTAGAATTTTCTCTAAAATTTAATAGGCTTTGTAGCAGGCCTTGTGTGACTGTCAAGTCCAGGCCCTTTTAAAATATGTTTTTGCTGCTCGGAGGTTTTGTTTTTGTATGTTTGTTACTTTGCTTCTTTCCATTGTTTTTACATTTTTAATGACCAAGTGTATGGTTTTATTTTCCCAAGATGACTGCAACAACGTCTCCCTAGCCACATTCTCTTCTGCAGAATGCCCTTGCCCCTCCGCATCAAGAAGGGGAGGCTCATTTCCCTCCCCTTGAATTTGGACTGGGCTTTCGTGACCTGGTTGTAATCAGCAGGATGTGGAGTAAGTGATGCTGTATGACTTGCAAGGCTAGGTCAGAGAAGGCTAGGGCTCTCTTGGACCTTGTTCCTTGGACACATCGCTCCCTCTCAGAAGACAGCCACTGCACTGTGAGAAAGGCACACAAGAGGTCTTGTCCCATTGAGCTCCGCCTTTGAGCCATCCCAGTCCAAGAGCCAGAGATGTGAGTGAAGAAGCGAACGAGTCTCCAGATGATTCCCGTCCCCAGCCGTTCGAGTTATACCCAGATATTCATGTCTTCCCAGCTGTGGCCCCAGGTATTATGAGCAGAGACAAGCTGTCTCGGCTGTATCATGTCTGAATTCCCAGCCTGCCGAATCCACCAGCATAATAAAATGACCGTGGTTATATGCTAGTCAGTTTGGGAAGGTCTGTCATGCAACAATAGATAACTGGAACATTATACGTGATTATATTTGGTTACACATAATTTAATAAATACAGAGTGAAACATGATGTATCGCTTTCCCAATTCTGCCTGAAATCCTGCTACCTTCACAGAGCTAACGACGGGCATCTGCATTTCCCTACTAACTCGTAAATTACTTGGAGGAAAAGACTACATCTTTTTCACCTGTGTAACTTCAATTTCTAGGACACTTTTTGCACAGAGTAAGCATGTAAGAATTCTACCTAACCAAACTGATAGTGGGGAAAAGCTTACAAAAAGGGGAATTTGTGACATATCAAATTTCTATAATACTTTATAAGATAAGGTATTCCTGGTCTTCAAAAGGGAGACACTACATGCATAATGAGAATATTCCTTTGACTGCTTTTGAGTAGCATAATGATGTATAAATTCACGGCTAGTAGTAATGATGCTATATACACTCCTACCAGTGATAATTTATGACGGCAAATAATGGAAATGAAATCAAGCATGAGAATAGACTCACGTTAGTGCTTCAGAGTAATTATAATGAGGTGTAACTCCCAGAAACTTCTGGACTTCATCCATCACAGTAGCTGGGTCAGATCTCAGCTGCTGTCCATCAATAATTAGCAACTGTAAAGTCAAAAATAGTCACTTTATGAAGAACAAAACTAAATTAAATACACTGAGCTGCCACCTTTGGCCTGGTATGACCATCAATTAGTTCAGTGTGAACATGAAGAAAATATGCACTACTTAGAATACATTTTAATGTTTGCTGTTCTTGTGTCTTCCAAATAAACAACAATTAAAGTTTGCCACCGGCATCATTTATAACCCTTAACTAACTTGACTGTGAATCAGAAATAAACATAGATACTCTCTTCATTTAGTTGTGAAGTAGAAACATGATTTTCCATATGTCATGCAATCAGATAATTATTCAGCCTATGAAATCCCATAAGCTAATCTTGGAGCCAAGGGCTTAGAAATAGTGGGCACACAGTTGAAAATTACCCATCTATTCTCCTTACAAACTATGACAGAGAACTCAGCTTCCAGTTGTAACCTTATCTGGGATGTAGAGTATAAACGATATGGACACTTTCCTCAAATCTTTATTTCTTGTTCTATTCGCATTCCTGGAGCTGATATAGCACTTTCCATTTTGACGGTCTAATGCGTGACCTCCTTCTTTCTCTGCAAGAGTCCCACAGGACAGACGACATGAGTATCTGCACATGGTGATCCATAATGGTATCATCTAACTGACTGCTCTGCCAGTAGCTGAGAGTTATTGCTGCCTATGAATCACGTGATGTCTCCCGTGTGAGGACTTAGCACTTTGACACCAGCTTCTATCCAAAAGAAGATCTCAAGAATTTGTTTCACAGCCACTTAACAATATTTTAATACTGTTATTGACATTAAAAACGCAAAGATCCACTCCTTTCTTAGGTATGTTCATCTCTGATTATAAATCACTCTCTGTGGTAATGTTAATTCATATTTTCTGTTTGTCAGTGCAACATAATCATGATAAACAGAAGAAATTAATTTCAGGACATTACCTGAGAAGTAGCAAAGTAAGTTAGCCATCTTTCTATGTGGACCGCATACCACCCAGGTACTAGGCATCTCCTCTGCAAAGTTTTTAGGTCCGATGGGGCCCAATGTCCTGTTGTAATAACTTCATAGAAATTAAACCTCAGGGCAGCTGGATCTTCATGTGATCGTTGGTGCTTTAACAAGAAATCAGTTGTAAAATTAATTTTCTTTATGCCTGCACCGGTATGTGTGCACATGTGTGATGTGTGTGTACATATGTGTGTGTCTTTTATCTCCAAAAAAGTAATGCAAAATGATTGATTATAGAATGAAAAATAAGGTAAAAAGTGCATATATTGAAACTTAGGCATTGGCATATTGCTTTTTAAAGTACAAGTTTTCCATAGACATCAAATAGGATGCAGACAGGCCTGTGGTTGTCCTCATGTCTGGAATGTTTAGGTGCAAGGAAAGAGATAGAGTAAAAGGACTTTCTTCACGGGTCTGATTAGAAGTGAAAAGACGTCAGGAATCAGACAAACCAAGCCTGATGAAAAGAGATTTCAACTGGCAAGAGTGGGCATGCTCATTGTTTCATTACAGCTGCCCTTGTGGGTTCTGACACTTCCCCAACATCCCTGGGTGGCAGGTGCTATCAGCACAGAGAAAGCAGATGTCTGTTCCCAGTGCTTGTTTAGGTGTCATATTCATGTTGACGTTGTCTGTGGTCCTTTTGTTTTGCTCTCACCAGGGTTTCCATCTAACTCTGCTGATTCCCAAATACTGTTTCCCTACGTCTTTTCAGTACCACATGCTCTCATCAAACCTTCACTGGTCAAACACAACAACCCAACACAATGAGAGATGAAGTTAATAGTCAATACAATTTCATGAGCACTCAATATGCTCCTCACTAGACAAAGAACTGAAATAGATTCTGGAGATAAAGAGAAGTAAGTAAGACATAACTGCCATCTTCAAAGAGATCAAAATCTTGTACAAGAGACAAGAGATTAACAGATTGTAATCAAGTTGTATCTTTGACTAGAGGTATCAGCTATTTGCTGTGATAGCCAGACCAATAAATCCTTAGTTCTGAATGAAAGATGAAGGGATCTTTTTCAATGGTTGAAGCTTTTGAGCTAAAATTTAATGAGAAAGATTTTGATAAGGAGAAAAAAATAAACATGCAAACTAAGAGAAGTTTATCTCTAAAGTAAGTTTGAGTGAAGGTAGATGAGATATGTGGGATGGATGAACCAATTTTGTGAGATATCTAAAAGTGAAGATAAGGAAAATTTACTACGGGATAAGGATGGAAGGATATTAGGGTCTGATACAATTGTGCAATAGCAGGCCTAATATGAGAGTTAGAAATAAACACAACTAAAAAAGGAAAGATAGTTAGGAAGTTGTGAGTGGTTAAAGAGTAACCGGTGAGTGGTAGAATGGTAGAACTAGTCATTTTGAAGCCCTCTCATTGTGTATTTACTGACATTCTTAATGTATATACATTATGCTGAGTATATAGAGATTACTTAACACATTTAATTGGTAAAATGTGTAGAAAGTACATAACTTGAATAAATATAAATATACTATGTGTGTATTGATACAGTAAGGCTAAAATTTCTAGTTTAAGCAGTGATAACATGGAACTGTACTTGATCTGTTCTATATTGACTTAGACCAGTTTAGTACCAACTTCTCTTTATATTCCCTCAACTAAGATTAGCAAAAAAAATATGACCAGAAGTCACAAAGGAAAATATTTTATGGAAAAAAAGAGTACTATAGCTCTTCTATGAGGCCCATTATAAAAATGTGGGGTAGAAATTACAGTGGCAGGTGACGTTTGTAGGAGTTTCTGAATTACACCTGCTGAGTTTTGGATTTATGGCATTTACCCAGTAGACAAGACCAGCTAAATAACAGGCTGCATTATTTTGAAATGTAGAGAGAGCCCTTTGGGGACCCTATTCTTAGCAATATGGCAATAAAAAGTATTACCGGAAAAATAATTCTTTTCAAAGGTGTATGTTCAAAGAATTTACTTGAACAAGCCAACATAGATTCTCTTTAAATGCTTTAAGCCATTTAAATGGTTTAATCTATGTGAAAAAAAACTTCATATAAATCTGCCTAAAGTAGTGACCGTGCCCCCTGCTAGGAAAATGTACAACATTTTGCCTCAAGTGTTTGCGTTCAAAATTTTAAATTAAGGCTTAACATCTCAATGCTTTTGGCACAGTTTTAAAAAAGTAGGTTTATCTTGCTTTGCATTATGAATTTTCACAAAGTGAGAAAGGCACATTTTTATATCTTGAGGAAGATACCGACTCATGGATTCTAATAATAATTTCTGAATCTTGCACCCAATGTGTGTTCCACTTGGATCCCCAACCACTTGCAATCCCAATTTGCAATGTCATATTTTTCTGTCCATCATTATTTGTTCTCAATTACATATGTTTATTGGAGAAATTTTGAAAAGTCAAGGCAAAGAATGAAGAAAAACCTAAAATTACTTATCTTACTATGCTCTTAAAAAATTCCCTTTTAATCTTCATTTTAGCATTAATTTCTATATGCATTAAACATATACATGCACAAACACACTCGTGTCATTGGGATTTTAGTACATATACATTATTACCACCACCCTAAACTCAAGATCACTAACTTCAGTTAGCCTTCATTGCTGTAGGCAATTTTACATTTCTCTGCTCAACTTTCTCTCACTGTCGTAGAAGAGTTCACATCCCCTTTTGTCTCCTCAAACAGCTGCCTCCCAAATTCTCCCCCTCTTTTTCATCAGCTTAACTCATTCTCAACTTCTCAAAGGAAGAAGAGACCATCACAGTCACTTCCATTTCTCCATCCCAGACCTTCAAATTTCCCAGCACGTAAATTCGTCCCCTCTTCTGTCCCTTAAGTTTCACTGTGGGGGTTCTTGATAAAGTCAGAGAGTCTATGGACTTGGATCTGCAAAAAAAGGCCCCTTTATTTTCGGTAACCTCTAAATGAAATTTAGCATTTATTGTACCTGTGATTTTACCATCAATAAGAGTCAGTTACTTTTCCATCACATTACCGGTGTTTCAGATGTATCAAAATGTTTATGCTCATCATGACAAGCTACAGGAGCACAGACCCACCGTTAGATCTTGCCATTTGATGATACTGATTTGAAAAGTATTTTGATAATTACATTTCAACATAGTTGTTTCCTTTGTAGTTCTATGTATTTAGTTTTATGCTTTTCAAATATATTTCTGAAATGGAGCCCATAGACGCCACCAGGCTCCCAGAGGGGTCCCAGTACCAGAAAAGTGAACAACTCTGGAACCAGAGTGCTCCCCTCCCATGTAGGTTATTTCCCGTTGCCATCCCTTCCAGGCCTCTCAGGATCCTCACAGGATTGATTCTTCATTTCCTCTCCAGGGCCTTTAACATCTCCCTTTCTTTGGAAACATCACAATTCAAATGGCCACAACCATAGAACACATTTTCCTTACGACCACTTCAACTGCTATGTAATAAACGTGTGTTGTGTTTTTTCCCCTTTGTGTCACATTTCCTTAGTGTTTTCCAAGCGCTGCCTACATCTCTTCATCCCCACTTAATTATTCCAAGACCCAATCTACCTGGTTTTGCTGTTTTCACTCTGTTGATAAGGGCTCCACTTCCTCAATATCTTTGACCTCAGTGAAAATAATTCAGGCCTTGTTTTGCCTAATTGTTTACTTTCTTAGCAGCTGTTTGACATGTTGTCACCTCCTCCATTGACAGTACTCCCTTGCCTCATATTTGCTGTCACTATACTCCTGGACTTTTTCTTCTACTCCTCTGGCTGTATTCTCTTGTCTCTCTGGCTGCCTCATCCTGCTCTGTATTTTTCTTCTCTAAACTCTCTCTTAGGCAATTTCACCAATTTTGTGGCTTTTTGCCTCTGATTCACAATTTTCTGTCTCCAGCTCAGACTCTCCCCAGAGTGCCAGGTAACTACTGTTCCTTCAGCTTCAGCATGGCAGTGACTCCACACCTCAGGATCACCAACTGTATCACATCTTTAGCCTCACCTCACCCCCACACAACTCCTGTATCCTTCTTCAGTGCTTCTCTTTTCATATGAATATATGGCCATCATCCATTTGCCCAGATTGGAAATTTGATTCACCTTTGACACTGTTTTCTCACCAGGTTCTGCTCATTTTAACACCCAAACATCTCTTCATACTTCAGACTTCACTCAGTTTCTATTTACTGTCTTTGTCTGTGCTACCTCTATTTCTCAGCAGGACTATTGCAGTAGCCTCTATTTGATTTCTCTGAATGCATGTAGTCATTTGTTCCAACCCAATCCATTCTTTGAATAGCAGATAATGCAATGTTTTCTAAAAGGAAATCTGATAGTCACAGGCTGACAACATTTTTCAGTCTTTCAATTGCTCAAAGAATGGCATCCACATGGTTCTCCCACATGACTTCCAGCCTCTGTGTGCCTCTCAGACTCATCTCTCACAGGTCTCCACCTCGGGCTTTGCTCTCTAGCCACATGGAACTTTTTTTTAGTTCTTTAAATGTGCTATGGTTCTTTGCACCCAGTGGACCACACATACTTCTCCCTCTCCCCTACTCTCCATCTGTGCTTAACCAGTTAATACCTACTCATCCTTCAGTTTTAAGTCCAAATTTACTTCTCCAGAAAATGCTCTCATAACACCTTACATACTTCCTCACAGAGCATTCAAAATTTCTAGTTATATAACTTTGTGATCATTCGATTAATATCTATCCACACATTACAATGACCATAATGTTTTAATTATCATTCCATTGATTAAAACCATCATTAAATGTGGCTCCAGAATATTCCATTTCAGTGTGACACAAATCTATATTATTGGGCGTTTATTTTTCCTTTAGTTGTTATTATTTTTATAGATAGTACTATGATGTATAAATAAAGGAATAAATATTTGTCCAATCCTTTGAGGCTTTCCTTATGATCGATTCCAGAAGAGCAACCACAGAACAAAAGGGCCTTTGCAACCCTTTTGATGACTATCAACAAATTAATTTTTAGAAAGTATCTATACATCTTTCTATTAGAATGTTTGAGTCCCTTTATGATCACACTCTTGACAACAGAGAGAATAAACATTACAATGTTTGTTAAGATGATATTCAAAAAGACTATCATTTTGATTTGTATTTTGTTGATCCCTAATTCGGTGGATCATTTTTCACATAAATTGTTGAGCAGTTGCATTTGTGTGTATGTGTGTGTGATTGTCTATCTATACCTTTTGGTTATTTGCTCATTTTTATACTGATATATTTATTTATCAATTTGCAGGAACTTTTTTTGCAAATTAAGGACACTAAGTCATTTACCATGTATTTGCTAAAGATTCTCTACTTAGATATTTACCTTTAATTTTGTTAATTGTGACAGACCAACACTTTGCATGTTTATATAGTCAATCTAGTAATTCTTTGATGCGTGATTTTTTCTATTATTTTATGCTTGAAATTTTTTGTCCAACTTGATATGTAGTAAATATTTAGCTCTTATTTTTCTTAATTTCTTTTTAATTTTTGGTTTAGTTCTTTTAACATTTGATTGTTCAATACATCGGGATTTTATTTTGACATTCACCATTGCTTGCAGTCAAGCTATGACCAAATGCGTTAATAGTGCTTTTCACTGCTTCATACCTGGTACCAAGAGTATGCCCTGTCTGAGGGGTCGATGAGGATGGTGATGATCTTAGCTTTGGGGACCAGAGATGCAGCTCGCTTGGGAGCTTCTTCCGAATGGAAGTAATTAGCACTCTTTTCAAATAGAAAGTCATTTGTAACGTTGGATGGAGTAGGGAAAAAGTCCATATACCTGAAGGTGGAGAAAACAATTCATTAATCTGAGATCTAATTTTTCCCTGCCATACTATGGATACAAAATAATTTGACCATTTTTACATTCACATATCAATTTCTAATTATTAACGTTAGAATAGTCGAAAGAGTAGCTATTATACACACTTTGAATGTGAAAACAACCCAAAGCATTCATGTTCTAATGAATTAGTTATTGTGGTAGAAGGAGTGAGATGCAATAGGTGGGTTGTTAAGAAATAGAAGGAAACTCCTTTAGATTTGGGTTGATGTTCTGTGCTATCAAAAGCCAAATCCAGAAAAATTAAGTTTACCCTTGGCAAACAGTGAATTACACCATATTGCCTAGTGAATATTTTAAAATAGCAAATTTATGTTTGCAAATTTGAATGCAAAATTCTTAAATGGTGATTAAAGTGCACAAGAGAGGAAAATGTATAAGTCAGAATAGCTATAAAATACTAAACAGATTAGGGCATCACTGCTCTCCTCTTTTTTAACTTGTGCATAATTTGTAGTGTGTGCAGCAATGCGAACACATCACCGTCTATCTAGAGTAATTAAGGGCTATCTCCTGCCAGCTGATCCTGTGGCGCCTCGGTGGGTTCATTTCTCCATATGCTGTCGGAACGTTCCTCAGTGTGTAGATTATGCAATCAATATGTTCGGAGGTTAATTCAGTGCAAGGTTTTAATTATGTGTGTAACCCTCCTTACAACTCACCACTTCTCTAACCCTCAAATGTTCTAGAAATAAATAATGAGAGCAATTAAGAATTCATATAAGACACTTATTTTCCTCTTTGACATTTGTTATTATGTTTCCCAAATGTGAAGTGGTGAGAAGTCTCATCTATATTCCTGCTTAACAATCTGTGTTCTGTTCGAGCTCATAGACAAGAGAAAATTGCTGCTCTGCTTTTAATAACTTGCATGCAATTCCAAAATTCACTTGGTGTTTTTAAAGTAAGGTGGAATAGAGGTATCTTAGGTGCAGAACGGACATGTCTGTACTCACGATGGGAAACCAAATCTGCTCATGGGCATCACTGCTGCCCCCCTCTAATCCTAGCTATCTGAAAAGAATGGGCCTTTTCCTGAGGACAGGTTCCTATGTGACGTTGACATCAAGTTACATGCTACAGAGGTATGCATCGAGGGGACTTTTCCTCAGGGGATATCTGCCTGGGATACACACAGAGATTGGATATATCCCAGATACACCTGGGAATTGGAAATCAGGGTCACATTTTCTTAGAAAATTCGGATAGAGCTAGAAAAAAGCCCCAGAGTGAAGATCAGTTCCAATATCAGACTTATTCTATTTCATTTAGGGAAAATATTGTGATTTTTAAATTTTTCATAATTTATCAAATGCAAAGTAATATTCCTTTTATGCACATGTGTGACTAGCATTAATATGGTTTGGAAATGCTCTGCTATTATTTGCATGACAAATATCAGCTTATATTATAATACACCATTTATAGTCTACATGGTTAAGGAAGACACGTGTCACAGAGTATAAAATAAAACAAGCTACTGATTTATCTGTTTCCTCAAGCATCATTGTGAAGACAAATTATGTATTTAGCTAAAAAAATTCTAGGCATCATAAAATAATAATATGCTTAAGGAGAATTTGAAATATCTTTATGAATAATTCTAATGAAAAATATTCCATAATCCTCTTTATTCAATCATATTAATTTACCAGAAAAATATTATCATTATTGCACTGTCCAAATTATAGGCAACACTGATTAAACATATCGTCATTATAAATTAATTTCTAATTCACTGTGATAGAATTGAGCACAATGAATTTATTCTGTAATTATGCAGATGCTGTGCATACATCTATAATTGCTCTGCCATGATTGAGCGTGTGTTAATAACAGACTTTATTTTTTGTTATTTTTCTTACCAGTCAATTCCCTTGTGATAGTTGTTGCCATTAAAGAACTGAACTTCTTCAAACGTCTTGGGGCTGGGGAGATTGCTGATGATGGAAGGGTGCATAAGAAGAAATAAATAAAGTGCAGTTGTTCCTATTACAAAAAAGGAGGCAAAAGGTTATATGGCAATAAAAAAAGAGACAACTATTATTTTGGCAAAATTTTTGCTCAAAAAACAATATTCAAAAGACCACTTCTTTCGAGTGTCAAAATAATTTCCTTAAAATCGATTAGATGCATTTCATGTAGCAACAACCTAAGGGTTCTTTTACTAGACTTCATGATTCTATTTACCTAAACACCTGATTTAATAGACATACACAGCGGAAGTAAAGCAACTGATGATGCAGCAAGAGGAGAACTCAGGAATCGGGTGGTTCAATTTCCTTCCCGGAATCAAGCGGCATTCCACACAATATCTGAACCTTGTGGGTCCTCAATTAATTTAAATTCAGATCAATTAAATTAAATCAAACTATTCAACAGATGTTGACTGGTGCTACTCTGTGCAAATCTTTGTAGTAATGATTGGTAATAACTCTTGATAAGAAAAACACGTTTGCTGGCCTCAATAAACTTAAAGTGTATGTGTGGACTTGGGTCAAGTAAACAGGTAATTGCAACATAGTGAGACAGGTTCCATAATGGGAGAAGACCAGATTGCTTTCCAATACAAGAGAAAATGGGTGATTTAGACTTGGGAAGTCAGTGATGGCTCCTAGGAAGAAGCATATTCTAAGATTCTACCTTAAAAACATAAGTGTTCCCAGTAAGGTTGAAAGAGAAGGGCAGGATTCTGGAAAGAGAGTCACTTGAATGTCCTACCCTGGTAAGATGGTGATCAAGCCTGGTGACTGAGGTACTAGGCTGAACAGCTAGCTGACAGAACCCGCTGAGTTTATACATCACAGAGGCTCAGATGTAATCTCTGAACCTTATTTCCATTTGAGTTAGGCCAAGGTCTGAGGGCCACTGCAGAAAGGATCATAAAGTGACTGAGCCTTCATAGCTCTCATAAATCAAAGTTTCCCTTCTGGAAAAGGTTATTCCTTTGGTAACATGTTGGACTTAGGAGAATCTGTTGGATTTCCTGGCTCCGGGAGAGCCATAGATGAGCTACACAGGTGGGCTGGCAGAACAATAATCATTGTAGCTGGAGATCTGGAAACAGAGAAGAGCATCAGAGAACTGGCATTTTGTTCTAATATATCTTAAGCTCATAAGAGCAAAGGTTGCTGTCCTTTAAGTATTAATGAGATTGCCACCTGTTTAGATCTTCACAGCTTTACACAACCACCAAGACTGAATAGAGGTATGACTAGTTAAAGGAAAGTAACAACAGATCCAAGAGGACCAACCATTTTGGATGGAAGACATGTTAAGACATCAAGTATGGGAGGCTCCTAGTAAAATGGGAGGGCAAAAACTAATAAATGCCCTTAATGAGATTTAATCACTAATTTAAAAAGACTTCTAAGAATTAAAAAATATGGAATCAAACCATATAAACTCAATAAAAAAACTGAAGGAGTCGTAACTAGTTAAGAACTGAATTAGAATCCAAAAAGACCAGGCAGAAGAACTAACTCAAACACTGAAAAATACAGACATGAAAGTTATGAGGGGCAATAGCAGTCTCGAAGAACTGATTTGCTTCTGAAAATAACAGAAGTTCAAAAAGGAGAAAATGCGAGAGGAGGAACAAAAATGTTCCCGGTAGAAGAAATAAATTAGAGATCGAGTAGTATAGAGGAGTAGCTGGAAGGGGATGGGCAATCCAGAGAGGGGTTCTTTCTAGATCCTTTTTAGGGTGGGCCCTATATGAAAATGTTTAATTGATGGTAAGAATGAAGCGTGTGTGTGTGTGTGAAAGAAAGAGAGCGAGCGAGACAGAGAGAATGGGAGAGAGAGATTTTTGAGAGTTGAGAATATTAGTAGTTTCATATCCCTGAGATGTTGATAATGGATGCATCCAGGATACAGATAAAGGAATATTTTTGAATTATTGCTGAATATCACAAAATGAATAACCTCACTCAGTAGCCTGTACAAATGTTTAATCACCCCGACGGTCACAGAACGGCACCAGATCTCCCTGGGCTTCAGAAAGCCAAACCCTCTCTGCTCTGAGCCATACACCTTCATGCCGCCAGGAGCAGGACAGACATCAGGAGGCTTCTGAAGGGAGGAGAAAGCACTTTCAGCTAGGGATAGCAGACACGTGGCTTGATATTCTTATAATCAGCCGTAAAATCTGGGTCCACCATCTCAAAATGTATATACTTTTTATTATCACTTGTGTTTTCTTCTATCCTTGACAGTCATTTTTATCCAGACTTCGATATAAAGATTTTTGTGGAGGAGATGGGAAAGGCCTCAGACCTTGCAATACTCCAAGAGAAACTTTATCGTATTTTATATACAATCGACTTCCTTTTAGTTTTACCAGACCAAGTTTATGAGGGTGAACCAGTCAAATTATGAGAAATTCATGTTGAAAATGGGGATACTGATCTTTTGGAAGATTTAAGGCCAATGAATTATGCTTTTAGAATGATTGTGCTAAATTTAACCCTTTTGGAAATCCTTTCCTTCCCTGGTAACATCAAAATTTGACCCGGAATCATGAAGGATGCCTAAGTGTCCAAAGGACCTAGAAAGGACTATGATTACAACTGTGAGTGCCATAAAGCCAGGCCTCTCCCCAGTCTCTGCCCCACTTTCAGCCGATGGGAATTCCCTCTGGGATTCTGCATTGGAGAAGTAAGATAGCTCATCCTTCCATTCCCACCTCGCAACAACTGAGCAAATAGGGGTTTGAAGACCACTTTTACATTTCATGTTTACTGCAAGGGATGCATGGGCCATGTTTAAGTTGCTTAAAGACAACTTTGCGTCGAAGGCCATATCCTCACATTCACCTGTGCCCACCCACCAGGAAATTACAGCTTCTGACAGCAGCGGGAGTTTTGCCACCTGAAGTGATAAGGAGAACAAAAAAAGGACTCCGGACTTCCATGGTTGAATGGATTTTAAGATTATCGTAACCATTTTCACATTAAAGTAGCATTTTCATAGCATATAAAATATTATCATCCAATTTCTTTGTTTTGACTTGTTTGTTTGTCTTGGGAAAACCAAAGCCAGCTAAAAGCTTTATCATTCCCATACTGGTAAGTCAAAATTAAAATATAAAGGGATAAGTTATTGTCTTTCTAAATACAAACAAGGAGGAAAAATAAATTTATACTTAATAACCTGTAATTTTCTAGCAGAACTAGGGAGTAATAATATTCAATGACACATGATAGAAGATACGTCTTTAAATTAAATTTTTAACATAATTTTACAACACAGGAATGTTTGATCTCTTGAGTAGTCATTCCAGAGTTAGCACTGCTATAACGGAGTTTAGAAAATTAATGCGCATTTTAAACAACAGCAACAACAAAAGTGATACATCTGGAAATACGGGCTTTTTTCCCCTTCTCTGCACGTGTGTAACTTGCTATTGTAACACAATTTATATTCCTGGTGGAAGAAAAGATTTCAACAACCAATATCTAATAGTCTGGAAATTTTGCCCACAACCTTTAAAATGATCTACTTGCTTGTATTACAAATATTTTCATCTAGGCCAGGCTTATTTATTGTGACTGTTTGTTCTCTGTTATGCTTTGTGCACTCACTGATGAAAATGCTTCTAGTCAAAGTGGTGAATTCAAAACACAGCAACTCAATAAAAACTTTAATTAATCGAGACATGAGTAAAGTGTATAAAACTGTCACATAGTGAAGAAAGGATAAAATATTCTAATTGAAAGTGTCATCTCATTGGTGAAATACTTTCACTCTCTTTTACTACATCCTTATACACGTGTCCTTCAGTAAATGAGCAAATACCCAAGGAAAAAATGCCTGACGAACCTCAGGTGTAGAGAAAATAAGTCCAAATCATATTTATGCCTAATAATTATTTTAAAAAATCAAACCACACAAGTAGAATATTTGAAAGTAATAATGGCAGTGGCTTTGAAAAAACCTCAGTTTAAGACTGATATGCAACGTAAAATAGTTTGAATCAAGTCAAAGCACTTTTATGAGAACTTAATTCAGGAGTTAATTAAGCAAAGTGACAAAAAGTAGAAATTAAAAATCAGATACCACAACTGTGACACATAAACTTAGTTGTTAAAAATTAGGACATCTGTTGAACACTTTTAAAATCTATAGATAACAATTTAGTCCTTAAGTGTAATTAGTAGCCAGCATTAGGGTCTCTTTGAAGTTCATGGCAGAAAGATGATGCATAGGGATGAAGAGTGAAGAAAATAATGAACTTGCATGGGTGTCCAAATATTTCACAAAGCAAAAGCTAGTCCAATAACACCATAGAATAATATATTTCATGATTTAAAAAAAATAATGCAAGCACCACAGTTGGCTATTCTTACCTGTTTTTTGTGGCCCAATTACAAGGAATTTTGGTAAGTGGTCACAAGTTTTCTCTCTGGACCAGATGTCTTTGTGCCGTTTATCATCACATGGATTCTGTGAGAAGGAAGAGTAATACATTTTATTGTGTAATGAATGACTGGCTCTATTCCCTATAAACTGTTCAAAAGACAGAACCAAATTCTTACCTGATGCCCTAGAGCAAGGAGTAAGACCCTGTTTTGGCTCTCTGATTTCCAAATGGTTTCCTTACAAAGTGACTGGCGCCTTCTTTTCCTTCAGGGCTAGAGGTCCGGCTCAAGCTGATCCTGCCTTCATCCTCTTCTCATCTAGGTTCTAACTGCTGAGATCCCGCTTTGTTCTGGATTCATGTTTTACTTCTGTATACCTGAGCCTTAGCTTGTTTTAACCTAGTTTGACCATAGTTTCTTGGATATCTGGCTTCGTCCTCATCTTTTTTATGTTTCTTTCCTCAGAGGTTAGAATGTCATCCTTGAATGCCAGACTTAGCCAAATTTTCCTCTCCTTTTCACCTGTGTGCTATTCTCTGCTGGTCCAACCACCCTCTAAGTTTGGCTACACCCCATAAGCTGACAGCATCTGGATCAATATTTCTAGCCCCTACCTCCTTCCTGAGCTCTAGACCTATATTTTAAATTGCATATGTGTCATTGCATTGTAGAGGTGGTGAGGAAATTCCACAAATAAAATTTATTTTCACAAATAAAATTCTTTCTAAAAAACATATGTTGGGCATTAAAACAACTATAATTACATATTTATTATCCAAATATTAAAAATGACTAATTATAGTTCATGTTTGTGTACTTTAGCCACATCTTTCTCTAATACCATGTCACCAAAGTTCCTCTGAAGAATCATTGTTGGCACTATGATCTTGTTTTACCTTTTCATAAAATTGCCTGCAATTCTTTTCCAGTTGCATTCATAGTTAATAAATCTGAAAATGCTGAAACTTTCAATGGACGCTTCTCTTATGCCACTATATTTTTAACTGGGGAAATATTTTCTCCATTTGGTTCAGATAAGTTCAGAACAAATTTGATTAAAGAGAAGTATTTTCAATTCTAATTGTTTTCCATATTGAAATGTCTAAATATTAGAGACCAAACATTTTCCCATTTATTTTTCATTGGGAGTGTCTTTCTTTGACAAATATTTTTCAAGATAAAACTTATCAAATAAGTTCTCTTTAATTATGATTCTTTTGACTATTTTGCCAAATATAGGTGCTGAAAAATCATAGACTTCACAATATTATTCCATTCTGACACAGACTATAAGTCTATCTAATTAAAAATAGAAAAGCCATCAAGAAATGCTTATCACAGTTGAACTTCCAAAGTTCAATTAAAGAATGCCAAATTAAACCTCCCATTTCATTTGAATTCTCATTGCTTAATTAGCTTAGTTTCCTCCTGTCTTGCTTTGAAGTTTTTTTTTTTTTTTTTAAATATGGGGAAAGGCACTAAAGGAAGAGAAAAATGTTATTTAAACATATTTTTTCTCAAAATAATATTTTTCTCAAAAATAATATTCAGAACCAATTCTTCTCAGTGTCCTTATATAGACTGAAGGGACCCAGATCATCCTGACCCCACAGATATTAACATTGATCTACTATATTGATGACGTGATGTTAATTGGACCTGGTAAGTAACAAGTGGCAAGTTCTCTGGCTGCCTTGGTAAGATGGGTGGACTCCAGAAGCTGGGAGATAAACCTGCAAAGTTTCAGGAACCTATCACTTTGGGGGTCTTCCGAGCGCCAGTGGTCTGGAGCATGCCAGGACGTCCTCTCCAAAGTGCAGGGTGTGTTATTGTACTTTGCAACTCCTACTACTAAGAAAGAAGAACAGTGCTTGCTAGGCCTCTTTGGGTTTTGAATGCAGCATTTTATTGCACTAGAGAATACTGCTCTGAGTTACCGACTGGATGATGCAGAAAGCTGCTAGCTTTGAGTGAAACTCAGAACAAGAAAGAGCCCTACAAGAGGTAAGGCTCAGGTACAAGCAGCCCTCCCACTTGGACCATACACCCTGGCAGACCCGTGGTACCATGGCATCTATGTATAAATGAATGCCAAAAATGGAGTTTTGGTCAAGCCCCAGAGGAAAATCACAATGTACACCCCTAAGGTTCTTCAGCGAGGTGTGCCATCTGCAGCAGATAATTTAAACAGTTACTCCTGGTATGCTGCTGGGCCCTGGAAGAGACAGTACTTGTCATGACTTTTTAAAGTCATCGTGTGGCCATAACTGGCCAAGATAAGCTGAATATTGACAGACCCACCAAGTCATAAGTTCATGTGTACCCAGTAGCAATTCATTGTAAGATGAGAGTGGTATATCTGGGATTGCTCTCAAACTGATCCAAAAGCTACAAGTAACCTCTACAAACAAGTGACCCAGACCCCCATGTCACCCATCACTGTTCCACCAGTGCCTCTCCATCAGCTCATTCCTATAGTTTCATGGCAGGTTCCCTATAATCTGCTGATGAAGAGGAAAAAATCCAAGCTTCGTTTGTGGATGGGTTGACCCATATGTCGGTAGAAGCCTAAAATGGACTGCTCTGCACTATAGCCCTATTCAGAAAGGTTCCTAAAACCAGTGGCTAAAGGAAAACTTCCAATTGGCAGAGGTGTGGGCACTGTCCCCCATCTACTTTTCTATGGGTAGACTAGTAGCCCAAGGTAAAGATGTAACAGACTAATAGGCAGTGATTAATGTGTTGGCCAAGGGACTTAAAGGAGCAAGACAGGAATTTCAAGGCTAAGAAATTCTAGCATGTGGATGAAGCTATGATAGCGACAAAAAATTGTGATGACTTTTGGATTGTACATTAATGTACACCAGAGAATATCCAGTGTAGAAGAGTGCTAAACAACCAAGTCGACAGGACCACTCAGCCAGTTCCCAACATTCCCACCAGTCACCTAACCCCTGTCCTCAGCCAACCCAGTGCTGGAAAAATGGGCTCATGAATGGAGTAGCCATGGTAGCAAGATGGAAGCCATTCATGGGCCTTCTTCTCTCAAGTCTGCTAGTTACAGCTGCTGCTGAACATCTGCCCTGTCAGTAACAGAGACCAATTCTAAGTCCCAGAGGCAGCACTATTCTGCCACTTAGCAGAAAATTGATTACGATGGACACTTCCATTCCGAAAAGGGCAGTGATTGATCCTGACCTTAGTTGACAAATATTCAGAGAATGGATTTGCCTTCTCTGCTTACATGGCCTTGGCCGGTACCACTATGCAAGCCCTCACAGAGTGTCTGACTCATTGATGTGATATCTCACATAATATCGCATCAGATAAAGGACCACTTCTGGTAAAGGAAAGGCAGCAGTAGGTATAAGCCATGGGAGTCACTAGTCCCATCCCATACCCCACTGTCCAGAAGCTGCTGGCCTGATAGAGTGGTGGGAAGGCCTCTTAAAAGATGCAGTTCAGGTACCAGCTGAGAGATATACTGAACTCTTTTAATCAAAAACTATTAGTTCGTGTTGTGTCTCCAAAGGGTAGTACAGTTGTGTCCAGGAATTAAGGAGTGGATGTAGGGGTGGACCCATTCCCCCTCATTTCCAATGACTTACCAGGAGAATGTGTGCTTTCTATCCCCACAACATTAAGGGCTGTAGGTTTAGGAGTCCTAGTGTCTGAAGCAGGGGTCTTCCACCAGGAGACACAGGAAGAGGCTCCCCACACTAAAAGCTGCAGGTGCTGCCTGTTCACTTTGGACTCCTTGTGCCAGGAGGCCAGCAGGCATGGAAATGAGTCACCATCCTGATAGGGGTAATTGGCCCTAATCAGCACGAGAGGTGGAACAGCTACTATACAGGGAGAGCAGGGAGAAATGTCTTTGGCACTCAAATAATCCACTGGGTTACTTGTTGGTACTTCCATGTTTAGTTTTAATTGTAAATGGGAAAGGACAGCAACTATGATCTGATAAGTGCTGGGTGGAGCACCAGAACAGAGTCCACCACAGCGTACTTCGCACTTCACAAGTTAAGCTACCTTTATCCAGGCATAGTCTTTCTTTGTCATTATTCCTGGGGAAATTTACGAGATGAGAGTTAGCAGGACCAAACTAAAGCTGCTGCTACTGCCGTTGGTCTTGAGAGTGTACCTGACCCACCAGGCCAGCCATCTGGACCAGCAGAAGTGCCAGCCAAGAGTGGAGGAAATCCAGCACAGGGGATACAGGTAGGAGAAAATGTGTATTGCTTTCAGTTGGGATGGATCGAAGTCCCAGTGGGGACTCCCAATGACTCTCCTTTTATAAGTTTCCCCAGGAATAGTATTCACACAATCCTAGAAAAATTGTGTCTGGAAGGAGTGAGTGTAATAAGATAAGCAAGTAGAGCTAAGTGGTAAAGTGGACAGTGGGGGATGCTCTTCTCCCACTGAAAAGATTCTCTTTTCTGGCCAGGGCAATACCTTACACCAATTCCCACTCCACCCCTACCAGCTGCTAATGGCCCCCAGATGGGGAGATTGAGAATTGCCCTTGGTGAATAGGTGCCACCTGACAGGAAGCTATGCATCCCCTCCCCACTCCCCAGGGGTGGCCCACATCCAGTGACTGACTGATCCTGGCGGTAAAAGAGTGACCTGCTTGCCTCAAGGTGAGACAATTCGTGTGTGGGATCAGCTCTCTCCCTGCAGACCAGATCAAGGCTAGACTTTACCTGAGACTACATCCTTGCTCAGCTCTTTCCCCTTCTCCATCTTGTTCCACTTTTGTCCTTATAGGTTTTTCCTGAGAGCATTTCCTCAATATATCATTTGCAACCAAATCCCTACCTCAGACTCTGCTTCTAGAGAACACTAGTTTGACAGTGACCATTCATGCTCTGTGAAATTAAAAGATGCTCTTGATCTGAATGCATCTTCCATCTCCAGCTCCCACTGGAACAAGAGAGAAGTGCAATATAAAAAGACTAGGAACGTATAAAGACAACTGCATTATGTGAGAATTAGCCTTGGAAAAGGTTAGGCTATCCATCTTGGATTTCTATATGAATTCATCTATAAAAACTGTGATAAAAGGAGTTAATTACAAGCCAA